TTAGAAACTGAGGCAAAGATTTCAATATATTCTTGGGTATTTTATGATAGTTTCATGTACATTTGAAGTGAAAATTTCACACTTTCTGAAAATGTGGGGATATTTTGCTGAGGCTAAAACATGTTTTTCTTTCACTTATATTTTATAGAAATCTACCTTATTTCTCACTAAACATATGTTCTCACAATTCAGCGAGTCTAGGCTAGACCCATTTTGTAATAAACCTAGAATTATTATTTAATATGGAATCTGTCCTCTAATCTTTTTTTTTTAATGAAATATAGCTAATTTACAGTGTTGTATTAGTTTCAGGCATACAGCAAAGTGATTATATATATATTTATATTCTTTTTCAGACCCTTTTTCATTAGAGGTTATTATAAGATACTGAATATAGTTCCCTGAGCTATATAGTAGGACCTTGGTTGTTATCTGTCCTCCAATCTTACAGGACTTGATAGAAATCAAAGGAGCATAGAGAGAGTAGCATTCTACTTCAAACAATAACACACCCCACACTGTAATATGCCACTGCACAGGAAAGAGATTTGGATATATTGTTTTTGGCAACTGGCTTCTGTCCTCAGCTGAGTCCTGTTTTCAAAGTTTGGAGTCATTCCTAACTCGGGGTCAGCAGATGGAAGGTCTTTGAGTCCCTGATAAGGAAAGATCATGAAGTTGGAAGGCAAAGGGTACATCTGAGAATCCCCAGTACTCTCCTAACACAGTCTCCCTGGTGAACCTAACAGGTGCTAAGTCCTTGGGAGATGTGTGGAAGTCTCTGGAATGCCTGATCATTTAGGTGACAGATCAAGATGCAGCACATTTGAGGGAGAATCATCTGGGGATGGTATCTGTCACTTTTGAGACTGACGCATGGTGGGAGCAAATTACTGCAATAGTACATTTTGTGAAGTGCTTTACAATATACAAAGCAGGATCTGTTTATAATCCTATGAATTTGGAAAGTAACTTTAAAACTACAGGGCCACAAAGAGGTGGACACGACTGAAGTGACTTAGCATGCACACACTTCTACCTACACCTAGATCCACACCTATTGTGTATTAACTACTATTTTTCAATAAGTTGTCTAATACTGGATTTACCAGATAAATATGTGTTTTTTCAGAAAAGTCTAGTATATTCATTAGGTTGACTTTGAACCTAGATGTTTCATATAGTCAATGCTCTTTCCTCTATACTGAGGTAGGCATTAGATATAAAAGTCAGAATCTTTACATGTTTTCAACAAAATATAGCTATTTTATCTCAAAAATCATCCTGTCAATCAACATGTTTTGTTTTTCTCCATGATATCAAATAACCAGCTTGACTTTTTCCCTCACTGATTTTAATAAATTGGATTTAAATAAATTTGAATATTTTGGAGTGGTTTTCAATCACAACTTTATTTTGTCAATAGATGCTCTTATTTTAAAAATTTTCAGTAAAGAAAAGTGTATGATTTGGGCTCAAACACAAAGGTAACTGCTTTGTGGATAAAAGGGAATTATCTGATTTAAATAGATGTGTGGATATAATTAAAACATTATATTAGTGCATTTACATAGCTACAGAGTTTTTGCATCAATATTTTTAACCTCAAGTTCGTAAGTAATTATGTGTAATTGGTTTAGCTTCTATTAAAATAATTAATTACCATGATGCAATTTTGAATGTGTGTGTGTGTTTGGCATTAATTTTTAGCAGTTAGCTTCCTCATAGATTCTATCAGCATTATAACTTGAATTTTCCTTCCACAAAATTCCTAATAACACAGGTTTAGGAGCTGTAGCTCTGTTGTTTGAATTACTCTGTTAGATGGTGAACACCACAATTTACAGCTGAAACAGCTGACCACACTGAAATATATCTTCTAAACATCTAATATCAAAATATAATTGACCTATTGAATTATTATGCTGTACACCTGAAAAAAAATATCAATTTTATCTCAAAAAATGGGGGGGCAGGAGGGTATGTTTTAGGGCAATAGAAATATTCTATACCATGATTGTCTTGGTGATTCTGCCATTGTATACATCTGTCAAAACTCATTGAATTATACACTTAAAATTGGAGAAACATATGCATTGTATCTCTATGAAATTTTAAAACGATGAAATATTTTAGGCATTCAAAAATAATGAACAAAAATTAATGAAAATCCTTAGAAAGTAAAATTTCCCCCTTCAAAACTGATATAATAATGATAATTCCAACTGACTATTACATATTGACAGAATAGAATAAATCACTCTTGGTTTTGTGCCCTAACTGTACTCGTATAGTCTTTTGTCTTTTCCAATTTTACATGCTAATTTCCTATTAGGAGTCTGCAATAACCTTTAGAGTGGTTTGGCTCAGGTTTATCTCCATGTGTTTAACCATAGCACAGGTCATGGCCACACTTTTTTACACATAAAACTAAAGACTGCATTTCCTTCTTGATGGCAAATAATTGTTGTTTCCATTTTTTTTTCATTTTACCTAATTTCCTTCCTATTCTTTTTTTCTTCTATTTCCTTCATATTTTATTTGACCATCAACCTTTTTTTGCTAAATGGAAGTGAGAAATAGATTTAAGGGACTAGATCTGATAGACAGAGAGCCTGATGAAATAAGGACGGAGGTTCATGACATTGTACAGGAGACAGGGATCAAGATCATCCCCATGGAAAAGAAATGCAAAAGGCAAAATGGTTGTCTGAGGAGGTCTTACAAATAGCTGTGAAAAGAAGAGAAGTGAAAATCAAAGGAGAAAAGGAAAGATATTTCCATTTGAATGCAGAGTTCCAAAGAATAGCCAGGAGAGACAAAAAAGCCTTCCTCAGCGATCAATGCAAAGAAATAGAGGAAAACAACAGAATGGGAAAGACTAGAGATCTTTTCAAGGAAATTAGAGATACCAAGAGAACATTTCATGCAAAGATGGGTGTGATAAAGGACAGAAATGGTATGGACCTAA